TTTTTAAAACCTAACAAAGATAATATATGTTTTACAAAATGTATTAAAGGTTGGTGAGTTTTTAGACAATGAAAAGAGATGGAGATGCTGGGGATTGAACCCAGGACCTCCTGCATGCGAAGCAGGCGCTCTACCACTGAGCTACATCCCCGTGTTACATGTGTTGCTGCAGCAATCTTCAGCTTTTTATTTTAAAGACCAATGCATTTCTATGTACCTTAACTATTATCTAAGTGTGCTCTCACAGTGAACAACTACCACGTCATGGCCGGAAATATCTTCCCAGAGACGTCTCCTGTTGAAAACAGATGAGGACCATCAGGCAACTGCAGCTCTCAGTGAAAAATATGACTAAAATCATGTGGTTAGAAAAAATAATAATCTACAATTTTCCTCTCATTCACTGCTGCCACTAAGGAATGAGGTTTAAGCCTTTTTGCTGTTTGCTCGCCCACGGAATGAAGCGCTTGTGTTCAATGTTTGGAACGTTGCAGTGTATATTTGTATATGTATATGTAAAATATGATTACGACCAATACCACAACATGATGCAAACTCTCGAGTGTTGATCAAGTTCTTCTTTTAACTCAGGTTTAAAACAGCAGTTCAGAGCCACTGCAGCCCTCTCTTCCATTTCCTCCCTCAATAGCTCACCAGAGTCCAGGGATTAGCGGTACAAGGTTTTGGCCAGTGTGTTCAGATTCTTTCTCCGCAGAAGTAAAAGGAATTTTCTGTAAGTCGTGTGGCAACAGGCCGGCTGTGGTAAAATTACAAGTGGTGTGTATCACAGAGGGTGGGGATTAACTGACCTTGTAATCTGTTCAAGTCAGAGACAGTGGAAGAAAAATTACACAATGTGCACGGGACGCTTTAGACTGACTGATGTATTGATACATTTAGACAGGCTTCGAGAGGGCGCAAGCAATTTGTGCACGTGCAGCATGGAAGGTAGGACGTATGATGGAAAACAGGAGCAAGAGAAGGAGAGAGGGAGGGGGGGAGAGGGACGGAGGGGGGGGGGGCTGTGCTATGTCTTGGCTTCAATTAGAGAAATGCATGCTGTTATCTAAATTAGTGATTCCCTGTGTGTGAGCACATGAGGCCTCTTTGCTCTCTCAGTTTCATTCATTTTTGACCATCACACACACACACACACATGCACATACACACAAAGCAGCAATATTTTTAGCAAGCAAATAGATTAGCTGCAGCTTGTCAAGATGAAATGCAAAAACCTTCTCTATTTTATTTACATTTTCAGACCAATGCACTTCTCTCTCTCTCTCGCTCTCTCTCCCCCCTGCACTAATGCTGATCAAGGAACAGCCCACCCATGATTTGGTGGCATGTAATTACATTTGCTAGAGTAGAGGGCATGTCAGTCTGTCTCTGTCCATCCTCCAGGTCTTCATCGAGTTGTTTCTTCATCATCGTTACACTCTTGCTTAGATGCTTTCTGACCAACACTGGTGCAAAACCTTAGTGCTACGTCAGGCCACGTCATGTTGGCTTGGTTTCAAAGTCACTAGCTACGTGCCAAGACACTGTACGCTCTCAAAAATGCTTCGACAGATATCTGAAAATACACACAAAAAAAGCATGTAGAACTTGAACATATAAACCAAAGAAGTGCAGGGTCACGAATTGCAGCTTCCTCACATCAGGGCCTGAATATTAATGTGCGGTGACAGATAAGCAGCCGTGGCAATCCCTTTAAGGCTGTACTCTTCACTGGTTGGTGCTTCTGGTTAATTTATGCCAGTCTGAAGAGCCACTTTATGTAAATGTTGTGCTTTAGTTTCAACCAGCATGTGTGTGCAATGGTTTGAAGGCTTCCATCAATCTCTTTGTGTCGGTGCGTCTTGGTGTTTACTTTGTGTGTGCTCGTCCTGCTGCTCTTTACTACTAATGCTTCTGGATGATCTCCCTAAACCCCATAATTTCCCATAAATTCTAGGAAAGACTACCTTATATCAGCTGCAGTTAGACAAAAGACATCTTCTAAATGCACCACAGTTGCTTGCTTCGAACTGCAAATGCAGCCATTTTAACACTCCACAACAGGTGAATGTCATGTAAACAGTTTGTCAACCAATTGAAAATGCTATGTCAAAATGCATCAAAACATGACACAGGCTTTTTTTTTTTTAACCAAACAGACCATCATCGTCTGCAGAAATCCCATAAGGCTTTTTATCAAGACAGTGGTTCTATACCTTTTTTAAATTGATGTGTTTCATTATATTTTGTCAACCGGGTAAAAAAAAATAGTTTTGGTTGAAAGAAATTACACACAGCACAACACTGTGTCATTAGTGTATTACAGGGATCACCTTTTTATTTTGGTAACACCAACAGCTACTTGTCTGACACAGACTTCCTGAACAATGTAATAATAACCAGTTCTGGGACATACAATAGTAGACACTCTTCTTACCAACCTCATTACACCCATTTGAATATCATCGCAAGTGTAAGTGATTCAGAAAGCACAGTAACAGTTCAATAGTTTTATTCTTAAAACATATCCTGCGGGCACCTTAGGTAGTCCATGTGGGCTATCAGTTGCCCCCGGGCACCATGTTGGTGACCCCTGCTTTATGATTTGTTAAAGTTTGTAACCAAATGCATTTACTGTAAGAGCCCTCATTTGGGAAAATGATATAAATCTGTACTGAAATTGAATTCATTTATTTATTTATGGACCAGTGCTTGCTTGTCATATTTACATGCATATATAACAGTTCTGGTGGGCATAATAAAATGTGTCTATTGCCTAAAAATAGCTTCTCATTTACTCTTTTAACTTGAGTAGATTTGTGGATCCCAGTTGGACTGATGTTGGACTGGACCTGGACCTCCACCCTCCACTGGTATATGGGCCCCCGAGTTAAAGGGAAGGTTAGGGCTTAGTTCAGCCAGAAAGTCACTGCAGCAAAATGAAGACATCTATTGAGATACTGAGTGAGGTTTCATCATTCAAAAGTCATCCACGGTGACCAGATGAGACACGCACAGTGTGAGCTTAATCTGGCTTGATTAGAGACGGCGCCGCTAACGTCTTAGCTCCGTTTGGCTTTTTCTTTAGCATCTCTGCCTCACCTCTGACCCCTGTCCTCCTCCTTCGCCCTCTTCATCTTCTAAATCCTTTAATCCAAGCTCCTCTGTGACCCCTCCTTTTTGTCCCGGAGTTAGGGTACATGTCTGAACCCCCGCCCCGTGAAATTGCCTGGTTAGCGCTGCCAGCCATGGCTTTATTCCAGGAAGGAAAGGGAGAGGAAGCTGAAAAACCCACCTTTTTTTTTTACTCACAGTTTTTAACTGTGATGCTACTGTATGGCCTTCGGCGATGTATAAACTGCTCCTCTTAAATAACGGGAGTTTTGTTCACGTGCGCTTGTGTTGTTGAGACACCAAAGGAGGAAACCCCTGGACAAATGATCAGCACATGTTGAGAAACAGCCCCAAAGTGATTTATATGTGTGGTTGAAGCCTGGAGAGCATTGAACTTACATCTACTGTTTAATCATCTTTTCTTTGGAAGCCCTCCAAACCCCACCCTGCGCACCATCTACCCCAACCCCCGTAACCACACTGTCAGATGACTTACAGATGGATTATGAAACACTGAGAGAGAAGAGGCAAAGTGACTGAAACATTTACAACTGACAGTAATGAAAAATGCTTTCATTATTTAAAACAGACACTGGCTACTGTGGGTGTAGTTGTTAATACGAGGTAGAGGGAAAATAAAAATGCCAATATAAACAACAACACTTGACAAGCCACATCTCCAAAGTAAAACACAAATGGGTTTTTAAAATACATTTGTTCATCAGCAACAGGCTGGTGAAAGGAAGTAGAAAGGAAGAAAAACACAGCCATAATGATGGCTAGATGGATGGTAGATGGACAGGCACACTGACAGATAAGGACAGATGGATGGGTGGATGGACATGTGCATACTGTTAGTAGACACTTGTCCACACTGGTCACATTTATTTGAAATATTTTGGAAAAATGTTTAAGTGCAAAAAAGTGTGAGCCTCTTGTTGAGGTTTTCTGATCGAGACCCTGCTCTTTAGTTCATCCTTCACTTTCGGGAGTTTGTTCTTCAAAGCAGAACACGATCCTGAATCTTACTGCTGTATGTTTTTCTTTTAAATATAATTTTATGTTCTTGTCCATTCTTTTTTATTCTCACATAATTCCAGTTTACTGATCCTCTTTTTTTCTGGGTGTGGTCTTTGGCAGTGATCTTACATTTTTTGTGGCAGATCAGTTTTTGGTGTTTTGCCTAAACCACTGGCCATAGTCAAAAGCTGAAAATCACAGTTTAAAGAAACGACCAGAAACGCAGCAAATCAGAGCAGTCATACATTTGTTGTTACCTCTGTCTGGGTCACTCTACTGGTTTCCTGTCTCCTTTAAATTGGACTTGGATTATTTAATGGTTGCTCTACAGGATTTTGTTGTTTCCCCCTACATTATTGTCCAAACTCTAACAGTGCACTGGTCTTATCACATGGTTCTGGGCGTTCCTAGATCCAGGCGGCTGACTAACAGTATAAATTATTATTAAACATGTTTCATTTTAAAGTTCCCAGTTATTTACCGTGTACCGATTAAATTCAGTGATTTAGAGATTTATTTCCCTCTGTTTATGCACCAAAATTCTTACTCCTGCACTCCTGCACTTCTTTTTTGTAAATCATGTGTATATCTTATTATTTTATTTTGTGATTTATATTATTGCTATTTTTACATTTCTATTTTTTAAATATGTTTATTTTTTATTCCTTATCTTACTTCATGACATTCCATGTGGACAGCAAAGTAAGTTTTTCATTGTACAGGGAAACCTGCTTTCCTCACTGTACACATGACAATAAACGCTTTGAATCTTGAATCTTTGAATCTTCTGTGCACCTGTCCTGGTGACGTCATATATATTACCTGTTGTCCCCGGACTACCGTTTCCGGAGGGCGGGGCTGAGATCCCTGCTCTTACTTGCTGGCAGCGGCTGCGCTTCATGCCTGCACTGTTCCGCACTCACGGCGCACTCTCTACTTGCTCTTACACTCGCTTTTGTACGGGTTTTAAATGCAGTATTTTTATGTCATTTTCTCAGTTGGAGTATTTTTGAAGTGAAGGCGGACGGAGGTTCGTAGACACCGGCTGGACAGGCTCAGTGACACGGTGGCACAGAGCGTGGAGTGGAGTGGAGTGGAGCGGAGTGAAGAGCGACGCTTCACATTGTTATTATCCAGCGTAGTGGACAGTATTCCTGCAACACGGGACTTTTTTTGTCATTCATTTTACTGCCAGCTTGTTTTAATTTAACTAAATTGAGAGTAATTAATCACGCACCGTTCGTCATGTCGCTTTTCTGTTGTGGATAGTGCTGTTTGTTGCGTGCGAGCGGGTGCGTGCAGTAATGCGCGCTTTGTGCAGAAAGCAGAGCAACGTTTGAGAGAAAAAGGAGTAAAACATATAATGAAATAAGTGTTTAATCAAAGAAACAGTCTGTGTTGCTGTTTTGGACCGCAGAAACCTAGAACCGGATCATCAGGATGCGCCGCCTCTGAAATTCACCAGTCCCGGACTTTGGTGTTGAGGGACGCACGGATCTTCTCCTACGCTCTGGACCAGGATATGAGCCCAATCATGATGACTTCTGCCGGTGTGATATTGATGCTGACGCCGGTGTTGTGTCTGCTGTCCGGATTCTCCTGGGCTGCGACCCTGGGTGGGCAGGAAAGGGAGTACAACCTGCAAGGTAAGAGCAAATAAAAAGTCAGGAAACCAAGCAGTGTGTATGTCATGAGAGTCAGAGGATGTTGATCTGAACAAAAAAAAAAAGGAAAAACTTCTTTGTACTCTCAAATGTAATATCTACTATTTTCTTTAAGGTCATGAGATCTGTCAAAACACACAGAGGAGGCTGAAGCATCATTAATAGACTTAACTGGTGTTGTAGAACATCATTTAATACATTCACATCTCAATTGGTGCAAACATTATAGACTTGTTTACAAAAAAAAAGGTGGGCAGTTTGGATCCAGTCACTGCTGGATTGAGCCTCAGCCTCCTGCTTTTATTGTTGCCTGAGAAATAGTGATGCTGGCAAAGCAAGCAGGTGCCAGACTTTTTCTTAAAACCGCCAAAAACTAGTGCACAGAACAGACTCAAACACCAGGCTACTGCTGGATCCAGACATGTAGCAGGGTTCACATTTAAAGAGACAGTTCCACAAACATGTGCTTTATCAATGGAGCGATTGATTGAAGTGGGAAACAAAAACTGTGAGCCGAGGAAGTCTCTCTGTTGGTCAGTAAATGGTCAAGTAAATGCAGGGGATTAAAACGGACAGGGCGCTTATTATAACCACAGGAATAATCCCAAATTTCAAGACAAAAGACCATTGTGCATTTGCACATTTTAAAGCATATTCATACAGGTGACAGACAGAGTATGGATTTGTACAACAACACAAACAAAGGACATTTCACAGTAATCGTTTAGGGATCTTTTGTCGCCCTTCGCACTGTGCCTCTCTCTTTGTTGATGTTTTGAATATATTTTCTAGGCTAACATGTTCAGTGTGTTCAGCTTTCCACTTCCACCGTGTGATGGTGTTTACACCCGGGCGCAGTGAGGTGTCACTGTGGTCACTGACAATAGCCTGTCCCTCTGCCACCTGGCTTTATTCACGCGCTCTGCACCAGTGCTTCAGTGCAATGTAGTTTGCTTTAATCTCCTGGATTTTCACCATTGACTTTCATCTCACTGTCCAAGGTCGGCCACAGTGAGTGCACTGATTATAAGTTTGATTATGTAAGTGTGGCCTATGGCAGCCTTTTCCTACAGTAATACAGTACACAAGTTCCAACAAACAGCAGTGAGGAGAGGAGCTGGGAGCAACTTTTGGATATGGAGGGACCAAAATTAAATGTCACAACAAAGTTAGGAAGAAGCCCAACTTAAAAATTTTAAAAATCTGCATTGGAAAAACACGATTTCCGTACCACATTACTACCAAGTAATAGATTTAAGAATTTTCAAAATTTATTCCATGCATTTGCAACGATAGAACCTTGACCGAAATGACAGTGTTCAGTTTTATTTGATGATTTATTTGTAAAACGGACATACTTGCAGGCTGCATTGTTCTCTAAAATGAAGAAACTTATCTCTGGATGTTCATTATCAGAGCAGAATCCTGTCGTGAAGCCTTGGGATTCAGTTCACAATTTGACCAGTGAAAATGAATGTTAACATATGTCACCTGCAACCAGATGTCCATGTGGGGACCGTGACCCTTCATGATACTACTGTACATGATACGTGGTATAAAAGGTTAATACGGAGTGTGCTTGCATCTGTGTTTTCATGCTTGATATGATAACCAGAGTCAACCGAGACGTTGTTGTGAGCAGATGGTCAGGTGACTGTGCAGTGCTTAGGTTGCATGTGTGGTTTTGCCCATGTGGCTTTTTTTTTGCAAAGAACAGAAGCTGATGGAAAATGTCATAGAGTGCAGTGTGGCTGCAGGCTTGGGATGCTTTAGTGATGTCTGTGGTCAACGCTGATGAGTTTGGCATTAATCAGTGTCTTCACAGCCAAACGTCGTGTCGCAGCATTATGACGGTGTCATTTGGAGTGTACTCTGAGGCTGAAGGTTGTACTGGTAACATGTGCTCATTTTAACTGGTGTCTAATTGGACAGATGTGCACTATTTATTTCACTCTGGTTAGGTGAGGAGGAAGTCATAAAGCTGCTGGCTTTTAGTGCACACTGCCCTAATGAAGTTACCATCAGGAGTGTGGGATTTTAATTTAGAGGAACAATAAATAACATGCTGAGGTGACTGGTCATTACTGGGCTTTAACAGACCTTTGAGACATGAAAGTCGTTACTGGGCTTTAACAGACCTTTGGTCTAAAATATATATATATTTGTTTTAAAATACAAACTTTTTAAAATTTATATTGGCATATTGGGTGTAAGAGAAATATAAAAATGTTTAAAGTTTACCTAATATACAAATTAGATAGCTGACACTGGTTTTGTAATTTTAAAGTAAAAACTTCATATATCATATTTGTATGAAGGCCTAGTATCAGAGAGGGGCTCCCTGTCAGTTGCAGTCAGTTCCGTTGCTCCAGCAGGTTTTTAATGCTCCTCACATGAAACTCATTAGGGTGTCACCTCACAAGGGAGGGTCTGGCTCCCAGTGGTGCACTAGCTGTTTGGCTCAGAGTGAGGGAGAGAGAAGCTTCTATGTCTAATGTGATTAACTTGAGTTATACAAGCATGGTGTTGTCCTTAAGGCCACCCAGTGGCCATCAACTGTGCCATCTGCATGCTCAGTAAACTGTAATTTTTCATTGTTTGGAGTAAACAGGAGCTCAACGGGAGCTCTAGTCAAATATTTCCACTAAAGCCCCCGTCAGTGATGGATGGATTTATGATTCCATTGTGTGTTTTTGTTGCTGTGCCAAAATTTTTACTTCATTATTCTGTGTGTATCTGTGTGTGGGCGGGAGTGGGGTACAACAAAGATCTTAAAAGGCCGTTAAAGTATAGTCCCTGTGTTGATTTCACTTCTGGTAGGCGGGGCTTCACACAAAGTAAAACGGTGAGGGAAGAATCGTCTCTGCTCACTATTGAGACTAGTCCGTTTCAGAGTCTGAATAAAACTTTAAAGAGAGTTAATTAAAAATTTCTCAAAGTCAGAAAAATAAAAAATATTTAAGTAAAGGGCCATTACACAAAAATGAAAAAGTTCTACCATGAGATCCTTTCTGCTTGAAGTGCAGTTTTAATTTATAGGTCCTTCAAAGGGTGCAGATGCTTTGCAGGACACAAACTTAAACTTAAAGGTGCTACATTTATTTATGTAGCACCTTTCATGCAGAAATGTAACAAGTGCCGTACAGATAAAAGGTTAAAAAATTACACAGGTTGTGGAAGTACAGCTTTTATATACTAATTATTATTATTATTATTATTATTATTATTATTATTATTGTCAAGTATTGATGGATTAATAATTGCTTTTCACATGTTTGTGTTTGTATACTGGGAAAAAAAAAGTAGTCCAAATGACTACTCTTTTCATCTCATTGTTGAATGACACAGACTAATGGAGAAGGAGGAAGCACTTGTAAATATTTGTATAGCTGCTAAGCCCCCAGATCGGTGTTGTGGGTGGAATCATTCTGAGTATTGTCAAAAAGTCTGTCATGCCGTCCATGTTTAGGTTAGTGGCTTAGTCAAAATGCTCAACGTTTTTCTTCATTGCTGCTCTATTTTCATATCAGAGAAATGCCTGGAGACCAAACTCTATGATGCGAGTTTGGTCGATGAGAACACATGCAGACTCGAGATGATGTGTTTGGGTTTGAGCAACACTGTTGTCTCCCACCGGGGAACATGAAGTGGTTGTGCAAAAACCAAAGAAGAGTCTTTCCTCTTTCTCCTCCCAGCTTCCTTTCCTCTGTGTTATTTTGTCTTAGCCCTTCATCCCTCTCCTTCTTCTGAGAGTAGAAGAGAGTGCCTGCTGGATTGAGCGGCACCATGGGAAAGAAGAGTGGCATCTGAAAGGCTTTCAGGGCTTCTCTTAGTTTTAGACTGATAACCCTGTGGTCTTTGTGGACTGTGGCTCCAGAGCGTAATGGAAAGACACATCATTTAAAAAGCATCCTTTCTATCAGCCAGCGTTTCTTTTTAAGGCTTTAACAGAAATATCACATCTGGCTAAAATTAGGTTTCCATCGCAGCCAAATATAGCATTTATATCTGGCTCCGATATATAAATATAAGACAAGCAAAAAAAATGGGTAATAATAATAGCATGAAAGAAAGAACATCTAAACAAAGTAACTGGTTAATTAACTTGATTAACCAGAATTGAACCTGATTATTAGTTATTAGCAGCATGAAAGAAAGAACATCTAAACAAAATAACTGGTTAATTAACTTTGAACCTGATTATTAGTTATTAGTAGTAGTTATATTGGGTATTAAACTCCTAACCTTTTCCTTGGATATTTTGTTTTATCCACTGATCCATGATGACATGATTTAAACTCATTTAATTAATCTAAATTAAAACTCTTATTATGATATTATAGGACCAAAATGACATGATATTGTCACAGAAAGATACTTTTTTTCTCCAACACATTTTTACCTAAGCTCTTTGGTAGTACCAGTGTCAGACATTTTTCAAGTAAAACTCTATCAACTTGAACAAACTGAAACCAAAAAGAGTTGAATGGTAGTGATGTCAAACAATTAGAAAAGAATGACGGGAGTAAATTCCCATCGTTCATCCGCTGCCTACAGTAAATATTCTCTCACTCCCTCACACATTCGTCAGCACAGTTCACCGGCTTCTCAAGCGCCTGTTTTCATAATGCTCTCTCTATGAAAACCAGACATTGTGCATAATTCTGCGGGAGGCATTAGCAATGCTCACGTACATGCAGTCTCATACGTTGTTTGTCAATGGTCGGCCCACACAGGCTCTCCACTGACTGCGGCTCGTCAGTGGTAAGGTCAGAACAAGTCAGATGTCAAAGGCCACACACACACACGTACACACACAAGGTCAACGCAAGCAGATTCCTTCCCAGTTACATTCCCAGGAGGATTTGAAAACTCTGATTCTTGGTGGCTTCCTCCCTGACCTTATATGGCTACTGTTCTTGCCTAGAATGACAGACGTGAACTGTTAAAATGAAAGACCGTTGAAGGTCAGTGACACTTGA